TTTATTTTTAGTTTACGAAAGGTCATCTTATAATAAACGCTACTTCTACCTATATGTTTGATTATTTTGTTGTCAACTTTATTTTAAAAATCAAGTCAAATTTTGAAAACTACGAATAAGACGTTTATAGAATGTTGATTTTCCATCTTACAATAGGTTCGTTTTGAGTTGGATGAGATTCTATCGGCCGAACTTTGCGAAATAGGGTTAGCTTCAACTCAATTAAAATATGGGCTAATTCCAAACTCGATTTTCATAATTTTTAACACAATAGAGATTTTTTTTTGAAAAAAAAAATAAATAAAAAGATATAATTAGTCATCATTATTTGACACACTTGGTCTAAAACATAGAGCAAACCTGACTTCCAAACAAACTACCAAATAAAAAAATGTCTTCAAAAAGGGAAAAGAAATTATAAAAAAAAAAAAAAATAATAAGTTGACCAAATTGAGAAAGAAAGAAGACTTGGACTCACCTTTTTTCCTCCCAAGTTGCCAATATGGGTTTGCCACGTGGAAAAATTACAAGTCAAAGGGTCAACTCCATTTAATTAAACAAATAAATATTATGAATATATTACATTAATTAATCACTTAATTAATTAATCACTTAATTAACATCCTAATCTTTCATATTATATATATATATATATATATATATATTATATATACATATAGATGGTTGGATAGTCTCTTCATAGCCTTTTCCTTTGTTTTTTCTCTCTTTACCTTTTCTCTGTCTTATCAAAAAATCCCACTTGGATTCTGAACCAAAAATCCATTCTTTGCCCGATGGATGTTAAAATGAGAGGCTTTACGGCGGAGGAGGCGGAGGAGGGCGTCCGGAAAGGCCCCTGGACGGTGGAGGAGGATGCTGTTCTCTTCAATTACATTCACTCCCACGGCGAAGGCCGCTGGAACGCCGTCGCTCGTTGCACTGGTTTGTGTCTTTCCCGGCGGCGCGTGTAAATAGGAATTTATTATGGGTTTGTTTTTTTTAATGGGAAATTTGTGAATTTGTTTTAGGTTTGAAGCGAACGGGTAAGAGTTGTAGATTGAGATGGTTGAATTACTTGAGGCCAAGTGTTAAACGTGGTAATATCACTCTCCAAGAACAGCTCTTGATTCTTGACCTCCATTTTCGATGGGGAAACAGGTGAATTATCCAATTTTTCAAGTTTTTCTTTCTTTTTTTCATCTGGGTATGCTTAAAAATTGAATCTTTTAATGACCCACTTCCAAAAATGGAGTCTTTTTTTATTGGAGGAAAAAAAAATGATGGAATTGGAATTGGAATTGGAATAGGTGGTCCAAAATTGCCCAATATTTACCGGGAAGAACAGATAACGAAATTAAAAATTATTGGAGAACCCGAGTTCAGAAGCAAGCTAAACAACTTAAGTGTGACGTGAACAGCAAGCAATTTCGTGATGCCATGCGATATGTGTGGATGCCCCGTTTGTTAGAACGGATCCAAGCCTCCACTGATTCAGTTACTGATGTCGTCTCTGCCTCTACTGATGTCGTCCCATCTCTCGAACAAACCCAACCATCACCTTCGAGGTGTAGTTGGGTCAATCCTCATATGACTCCCTCAACTTCGTCATCAGACTCTGTTTCTAATAAGGTTGTTAAATCATTACAAAATAACGACATAAATTCAAAAGGTTATGATATATCTAACCATTTATTTGTATGTATGATATAGGTTCAACTTCAAGTTTTTCCTGTTTCAGACAGGATGGAAGACTTTAGCTTGGTTGGTACGGGCGAGGAGGAGGGGATGATGATGGTAGTGCAACAAGGTTGTGACGGTGAAGCGACGAATGGTTGGATAGGTGGCGGAGAGTTATTGGAGGATGGGTTTTGGGATGGGGAAGACATGTGGTTCTTGTAGGAACAATTTGGTGATGTGTTTAATAAGAACATTAGATTAGAAATCCTCCAATTTGAATTTGGTTACGTGACGGAAAATGTTATAAATAGGGGAATGAATGACTTGACGAAGTAGAAGTGTAGACTAAAAAAAACATGATGACAAACAAGCAACATTGACAGCTTATGATGTCCACTACCTTCGTAACATTTAGTTTTGTAAGTTTATACATTAATGTTTTGTCTTAAATTACACACTTTGTCCTTAATAATATTATGTTTAATTTAATTACGACCATTTTAAACCTTTACTTTTCAATAACAAACGTCTCGCCTCTAGCCTAAGCTCACCAGGTTGCTCTTCTCTCTTCGCTCTCTAACTTATGTGGAATCTCACCATCAACGTTGGCACACCAGTCATTGTCCGACTCTGATACAATTTATAATAGCCCAATCCCACCATTAGCAGATATTGTCCGCTTTGGCCCATTGTGTATCGTTGTTGTTCCCCTTTCCAACCGATGTGAGATCTCATAATCGACGTTGGCACACCACCGAGTGTCTGGTTCTCATACCATTTGTAACCGTCCAAGCCCAAATATTGTCTGCTCTGGTTTGTTACCACTAGCAGATATTTCTGCTTTTTCTTGTTGCGTTATCACTCTCTCGGTTTTAAAACGCATCTACTAAAAAAATCATTAGTCAAATAAAGCTATAGGTCTGAAACGAGCAATTATAAGTTACACAATTATTATAGATGAACTCTTTTATTTTATAATAAACATGAGAATGTTTTTTTTTTTAATAAAAAAAAATGAAAGATGACCTCTAAATGTGAGATATTTAGAATCAATCATAAAGGATGAACTAAACATATGTCATACATGACATCGTGTGTGCCACTTTAATGTTGCTATTAATTTTTTTTAAATCTTATTCAACAATGCTTTCATTCATATGTCACCTTACACTTAGTGGATTTATGAGGTTTATTTCATTACATTTATTTATTTAAGGTTTCATTTACCATTTACCTTTTAATCATTTTTACGGCTGAAAATCAAACCAAATGAAATAGGTCACGGTAGAAGACTAGGAAAAAAACTCAACAAGATGAAAAATGAACTCGGCTTCAGCGAGTACAGTGCCAACTAATTATCGGGTCAATTAAATCTGATCCTAACTTATTTATAATTTAGAGAAACTCATATCATCGTGATCCTAAGCAAAATAATAATAATAAATAAATAAATAAATCTCCTTGCTTCAAGTAAGACACATTTAATTTTAGAGTTTTTGTGATTGAGTCACCGAAAAAGAAGATGCACCTTGTTGGTATAGATAGTAACTTTCAATTCTTTTAAGTTTTTGTCACCCATCTTATCCTCAATACCGCTCTCATTCAAATGTGATATCGGTTCATTTATGCACCATTCTTTTAGTCAGATATTACATGACTTAGTCAGAGTTTGAGAGTGGAATTGAGCTTACTCTCAAATACTTTGAGTGGAGGCATGTATTTGACATGTTCGGTTAGGCTCGAGTTTTGCCGTCTTTTTATATTGGTTGTCTCTAAACTTGTTTAATCTTTAACGATTATTAAATATGTATTTTTATTTTTTTAAAATAGAAAAAAAAAACAAATTATGCAACACTTAGTTAAATTTTAAAGTTAGGAGTACTAAATTAATCTAAATTTATGGTTTAATTCGAGGAAAATAAGAATATTTAATTTATATGGTTCCTAAAAATAAAAATGGGTTGATAAAAATAGGGAAATATATGACTCATGCTTACCTCATCATGATCACCATTTCCACTCACAAACTCAATAAATAAATTAAATGTTTTATATTAATATCAATACATTTCTTTTTCTATATTAATGGATTTTTACGTCACGCACACATCAACATATTAATATATATATATATTTTTTTGCTTCATAATTCAAGCATTAATTCTTAACCTTTCTCTTGAGAAAATCTATACATCATTAAATTTCTTGTGGTAATAGTGTAATTCGAAATCCAATCCCTAACGATCTCCCGTAGTCTCGGTTATTCGTGCACCATTTTTTACTCAGGTGTCACATGTCCACCAACTTTCGTCTTGGTTCGTCCCCAAACTACATCTTACTGGGAGATATACCGCTATAACACCATTTGTATCAACCCTATTCCCAAGATTCATAATCCAAATTTGGCATCTAATGGCCCGAGCAATCTCCTACATTTCCAGCGATATGGTCACGTTACCTACTCCTCGTTTCTAAGAGTAAAAATTATTCAAACAAACCAACGCGAGTTCTTTCTGCATGTTTTATCTTCACTCACATGCCTCCTAGAAAAATTCTTACGAGGTCATCTGACATAGAATTGCTCCAAGTAAATCACGTTTAACTGTGAAGATCATATGATTAAGCCACCGAAAAGAAAGATGCACCTTGTTGATATAGATAGTGACTTTCAATTATTTTAAGCATTTTTTTAGTCATTCTATCTTCAAAATCCCTCTCACTCAGGCGTGATCTCGATTAATTCATGTACCCCACCTTTACTCGGATGTCACAAATAGCAACATTCTGTCAATTAGACTACAGTTTTCCTTCCTCAAAATATTGTTTTAGCCTATAATATTACTCGAACATTGGGGATAATTATTCATTCGATTAAAGAAACACGAACTAACTCCACTACCCTAATTATATTGGTTGTATAAGAATCATATCCCTCTCTATCATATCCATTTAAATTAAACTTTTTTTTTCTCGAACATAAAATAATCAGTCAATATTATCTCGATGTTGATTTAGTGGAGGACGTAACTAGCACGTAGGTGGTCACAAAAGTAAAAGCCGTGAGAGTTCAATTCCCTAGAGGATTGCCCCACATACGTAGGAGGGGAGACCCTAAACACCATATAGATATGAATCAAATCAGCACTTTGGGATTTTAATATGGAATACAGCCATGGGTTCTCCATTATATACCAATGGCTGAGTTGGGACAATTTGTACCCAACAAAATACCCCTTCCCAATGGGTCCTCTACAGTCCTTAGTGGAGTACTATATTCTTAGTGACCCATGTGATTGGTCTGCCAATTGGGTCCATATATATTCATAACTTTCTAGGGTCTTTAGGGCTCATGGCTGCAATGAATGACCTTAAAGTTCTTCTTCTTCTTCTTCTTTTAGGGTGTAATTTGTTCATGCAATCTTATTCACTGAGTGCTGTGGAGGAAAGGGAGGACTACAAGAATTGGCTCTCATGGAACCTTCAAAATTACAAGAAGAAGGCGGTTCGGAAGCCGGGTTCGCAGCCAAACTCCGGGTGGTTTCAGGGTGGCGGAGTTCTTGACGATAAATTGAGAAAGGCCGAGAGCAACAAAATGAGAATCGTCGTTAGCCAAGACGGGACGGGCGATTTCAAGACCATTGGAGAAGCTCTCAATAGCATTCCGAAACCTAATAGTAAAAGAATCGTTTTGGTCATCAATCCAGGAGTGTATAGGTACAGTAACTATTAGAAATTACGAACCTCCACAATTATATGATATTGTTCACTTTGAGCATAAGTTCTCGTGACTTTACTTTTAGTTTTCCCGGAAGGTCTCATACCATTGGAGATATATTTCTTAGTTATAAACTCATGATCATCTCCTTAATTAGCTAATATATGATACTAATGGTGTAAAATTGGATCGAGTTCAGTGAAAAGATCAACATTCCGAAAACTCTACCATTCGTGACATTTCTTGGAAGCGCCAGCCACGACCCGCCGACCATCACCGGAAACGACACGGCGGTGGTGATCGGAGGAGATGGGATACCATTGGGGACGTTGAAGAGTGCGACGGTGGCTATCAATGGCAATTATTTTGTAGCTATTAATATCAAGTTTGAGGTAAAAGATTCAATTTTGATGCCACAAACACAACATTCCAAGAAATGGCTATCATTTTGAGTCAAACACGATCATGGGTTTGCAGAATACAGCAATGCATGAGGTGGGATCGGTGCGAGGACAAGGAGTGGCATTGAGAGTATCAGGAACAAAGGCTGCCTTTCACAATTGCAGCTTTTATGGAGATCAAGACACGCTATATGATCATAAGGGTCTTCATTACTTCAACAATTGCTACATCCAAGGCTCGGTGGACTTCATATTTGGCTATGGAAGGTCCTTCTATGAGGTTAAATCGAAGTTTAGTTAATAAATTTTGCACCTTTATTTAAGATTGTTCATGTTTTGAAATGGGTTTGTGCAGAAATGTTATTTGAACTCCATAGCTAAGAAAGTGGCTTCTGTGACGGCTCAAAAGCGATCAAAATCTTCAATGGGAAGTGGGTTTTCGTTCAAGGATTGTGTTGTAACGGGTAGTGGACAAATCTACTTGGGAAGAGCTTGGGGAGATTACTCTAGAGTTGTTTTTACCTATACTTTTATGGATAAGATTGTTCTTCCTCAAGGTTGGAACGATTGGGGCTCGAGAAAACGTCAATCGTAAGCAACTTATAACTTCATATCTTTCCGTTCATGTCCACCGTGAGATCCCACTGTTAGTTGAACACGATTCTCCCCAATGGTATGATATTGTCCACTTTGAGCATAAGCTACCGTGACTTTGTTTTGGGCTTCCCCAAAAGGCCTCACATAAACTCATGATCATTCGTAAATTAGCGGATGTGGGACTTTCATCCAACATCCTCATCGGTTGGGGAAGAGAATAAATCATTCTTTACAAAGGTGTGGAAACCTCCCTCTAACATACGCGTTTAAAAATCGGGAGGAAAAGTCTAAAAAGGACAATATCTACTATTGGTGGGCTTGAACTGTTACATCTAGAGTAGCTCAGATTCGAAGATATAGTGTTTAACCTAGTTAAAAAGTTAGGGTTGTTACATATTCATATCGTATTTTTTGATCGATGTAGGACGGTGTATTATGGAGAGTACAAGTGTAGCGGACCAGGGGCAGACCTAAGCGGAAGAGTAGGATGGGCTCATAACCTCACAGATGAAGAGGCTCAGCCATTCATTGGGACTCACTATGTTGAGGCTGATACATGGCTTCTTGCCCCTTATAACTCCTAAATTTATCAACCCTTTCAAGATTTATGCTCTTTCCATTACATATTGTATCCAAATATTTCAAATTCTTAAGAATTTCTAAATATAATCTTCGATATTTAAATAAAAAAAAATCCTTATCGAAATGGATCGTTAATAACGTTAAATCATACATAAAGTTTAAAAGTTTAGGGGTTAAATTGTTGAGTAAATGTTATTTAAAAATAATTCAAAACAATAATAAATCTTATAACAAATTAAAATTAAATATATTGCAATATCTTTAGATTCCATTTTTTTTATAATATTATTTCATATCTTAATTATATCTTTAATCTCTCAACTTCAATTCAAATAAATAAATAAAATAAAATAAAAATCTAAAATATTTATAGATTATATTTAAAAAAATGTGATAGAATAGGTTTTAAAAATATAATTATAATAAACGACGGTCATATTTAAAAAAATACGCTTAAACTTTTATAAAAGGTTTGAATTATCGATTACAATAATTTAATATAAATTTTATACCGAACCGAAATTTGATTGTATTTTAAGAAATTTAGCGAGAATATTATTGTGCATTGTGTTTAATTAAATTACAATAATGATTAGGTTTTGTACAAATAAATAAATTAAGTGTAAATTATATAATTAGTTGATTTTTTTTTTAAATTATTATTAATTTTATTTAAAATAAAAATAAAAATAAAAGTTAAGAAATAAGTAATAACCCTTTTCTTGTTTTCCCTCTCAGTCGCGGGCGAAGTCGCCGTGTCTCCAAGTCCATTGCTTTCATTGTACCCTTGGCGAAGGATCTTCACCGCCGCACCTCTCTCCCTCCTCCCCTCTATCGCCGCCCCCACAAAACCCATCTTCCTCTGTCTCTGCGGCTCTCGCCGGCAGCCACTGAATCCGCTCCCCAACTGGAAAACACTTTCACTCTCATTCTTCCTCCAAAGTTTTAGTCTTTAGACGCCCAAATCAATTGGCTTTGGGTACTGAAGAAACAGGGAGGAAGAACTAGTGACCCAGTTTGGAGATTCTTCAGAATTTCTGGGTTTCTTCAATCTTTGGTTCCTCTGTTTGATTTCATTGCTGTCTTCGTTAAGGTTCACCACTGTTTTTGTTTTTGTTCTTGTTTGTTGGGTTCTGATATGATTTATTTATGCGACATTTTGTTTGAAGTTTTTAGTAATTGCTTGTTGTGAGTTGTTTATGAAGCCCAATTGTATTTACTTGGCTGCAGTTCTTGTGGGATAATTTTTGTTTGTGTTCTACACATTAGTTAGGGTGGATTACAGTTACCCATAAAAAATTTGGTCCTCTTTTGATGTTTTGCTTTGGTTTCCTTAATCCAGAGCCTCAAGGAATGTGTATTGGTTGGAAGTATTAGACTTAGAGATTGTCCAAATGTTCTACCTTAGCCGAATTGAGCACACACTACGTGTGCCTCCAAGCATGCTCCATTTACCTATTCTTGATGCTATCAAGGGGGAGCTGGAGAAACTGTTCCTGGATAAGGTTTGTGTAAATTTTGTAGCTAAACTTGTTGATTAACACTTAAACTGAGATGAGTTTTGTGATGAAGGTTGTTGCCAAATTGGGGCTCTGTATTTCTGTTTATGATATAAGATCGGTTGATGGGGGCTTTATCTTTCCCAGCGATGGTGCTGCAACATACAAGGTATTCTTGCACTCTTCAGATTCAACCATTGCATTCTCGTGCCTAACATATATTGTATACTTATGTTTTCGAGTACAAAACGAATATCCTTTTGTGCTTCAACTTATAAAATCTAAATCAAATAACGAATAATCTTTCGCCTCTTCGTTATCCATTTATCTTATGAACTATTTGTCTTTTCAGTGTTCTTGTCATTTGATATCAGAGTTCTTCGAAACGACATCTGGGTTACTTATCGATTGGATATTTTGGCAGGTTGTGTTCACATTGATTGTGTTTCGTCCATACGCGGGGGAGATAATTATTGGAAAAGTGAAAGAATCAGATGCAAATGGTTTGCGAAGTATGTTAACTTTTTCCATACTTTTTTCCGAATGTATATTGATACTGTCCACTTTGAGCGTAAGCTCTCATGGCTTTGCTTTTGGTTCCCCGAAGGGCTTCATACCCGAGGAGATAGTGTTCTATACTTATAAACTCATGATCTTTCTCTTAATTAACCAATGTGAGACTGCTCCTTTCGATAATCCTCGACATATTGATCTATCACGAATATTTTTTCTTTGATTCGAGTTTAACTTAGTCTAGCAATTTTAATCTTGTCACGCTTTTCTTTCTATTAAGTGTATGTTTAAGATTAGTTCCTCTGTATAAATCTTCCAAGGCTTTTGGTTCATTAGTGATTAGCGTAAGAGCTCTGTCTTTGATTTCCAAATGAGTTGTTCTTAGGCTGACCGATTCAACGGTGTAGACGTGTATCTCAATTCTTGGTAATTTTAGTGTCGTGGGTTTATCTTCTCCAAATGTGTTGAGGATCAATCGGGTTAAGAGTTTCAGCCCTGTACTTTCTAATACAAAGAAGTTGTGAGCCTCGAAGGTGTAGTAAAAAAACGACTCATGTGTCAAAAAAAGGGTGTACTTTGTTCGAGGGCTCCAAAGGAGTCGAGCCTCGATTAAGGGGAGGCTATTCAAGGGCTCCATAGGCCTCATGGCAGGCTCTATATTGTACTTTGTTCAAGGGGAGGATTGTTGAGACGGAGTCCCACGTTGGCTAATTTAAGGAATGATCATAGGTTTATAAGCAAGGAATACATCTCCATTGGTACGAGGTCTTTTGGGGAAACCAAAGTAAAGCCATGAGAGCATATGCTCGAAGTGGACAAGATGATTGATAACGCACTGGAAAGAGGCTTTTGGAATAACCTTCATCTTCTCATTCTTTCTTTATGAACATTACATATGATAAATTTAGCATGGTGATGATGAAAGTATATCAATCTTGCAGTATCGCTTGGATTTTTCGAGGACATTTACGTTCCCATCCATCTTCTGCCGTCTCCATCAGAATTCAAGCCCGATCCGAAAAACGGGTAATGCCCCCTGTGCAGCCCACAACCTCTGGCTAAAAGTTTAAGTGGTGTTTCCATTTGATAATCTGTGTTGTTGACTTATCTAAAGTATTATCCGTTACTATTCTTTTGCGAGTATTGCAGCGGAAAACGCAGATGGGTGTGGGACTATGATGGTCAACCATACGACATATACGAAACGGATGAGGTTTGTCAATTATGATAATGATTTTTCGTATATTTTGGTTGAAACCCAGTGTTAGTCCTTAACGTTTATACTTATTCCATTCGGGTCCTTAAACCACGAAATACTTTGTTCTAATCCTCAACTTCGCACGAGTCCTACTCTGTTTTTCTTGATAGTTTGTATGCTTAGTTTCGGTTTCTGGAAATGGCAGATAAAATTTAGAATACACAGCATAGATTACCCAGCAATCCCAGTGGATCAGCAGCCGAACGAGAGTAACTCAAAATTCCAAATGGAGGAGCAACCGAAAGAGAACGTTAACGTAAAACCGTTCGCTCCCATGGTTGTCACTGTACGTCGCTCGCTCTAAATTCTTTCCATTTCATCTACTCGTCTTATTGATATATGTCTGTAGCATTAGCCAAAGGAAGACTGGTTTGTCCATCAGTGAGGTCTGCTTTTTGTGTATGTAGGCGACAATCGACTATGATGGGTTGGGTCCTGTTTCGTGGTGGGATGGTTCAGGAGATGCCGATGCCGATGCCGAGGCCGAGGCCGAGGAAGATTCCTAAGATCACCTTCCCATCTTGTTAGTGTGAAAAAATTGGTATTTGTTCATTCATAACTCTGTATTATATATCATTATCACTTGGCATAGGCATAAGTCTTTTACTCTCTCGTTCGAAGCCAAGTTGGGAGAGTCGAGCGAAGTTCCTGTTGGCTGTTTTTCGGATCCCGCTCGTAAAGTCTAAACATTTGGGTCGAGTTGAATGAGGTATTTGAAAGGGTAAAGAGGGAATGAAGTTAAAGTAGTGATAATTATTAAGAAGCTTTAAAGAGATCAAGGCGAGAATCTGCTAATCTAAGGGAATAAGCAGCCTTCTTGTATTGAGCCCAAGTGAAAGGCTTATATAGAGATTGGTGATTGGGGAGTATCATTTCTGATAGAGGTGCTATCCATGCATTCAATGGTGGTGCCCCAAAGTACATGATTGACATTCTTGCCTTCTTTGAGTTGTTTGCCATTGCTCTATGCCTCACGCTTACAAATCTCCCATTTGTCATTGCCTGTTGTGTTCAAAAACAACAACAAATCTCAATAACCCATTCTATAAATCAACTTATTTATAACGTTTATTGTTTCTAGAACTCGATATCGACATCTGAGAGATTATATATCGCTTCAAATACTTGTTTACCGTCTAACTAGCTCAAAAAGATATCATTTTGAACTGTCATCTAAGCCTGAGAGCTCTATACGTGTTTTACAAAAATTAACGACAACTAAAAGTGATAGATGACAATGTATAAATTTTTTAAGAATAAAATGTCATTTTCAAATGTTGTACGAGTTTCTTTGAAAATACTTTAAGGGCACATAAATACTGAATACATTCAAAGTCGTGTTTAGGGTTTATTGCTTTCTCGCAACAATCACGGGAGTTATTGTACAAATCGATTTTAAATAGATGTAGTGTTTCAAGAGCTGACAAATCTATGCCATGTTGAATCAAAAACGGTGTCAATTCTAAATTGTTATATTAAACTACAATAATGACGAGTATTAAACATCAACTAAACATAATATGTTAAGAAAATAGGTCAGTTATAACTGTCATTCATTCAATTTGTAATTACACGAATGATGACATTGGGTATGATGTTAGTTTCCAACTGACGTCATAGCAAGCCTTCGTCGTATGGTTTACAACGACATTAGACTTGATGTCAGTTGTAAACCGATATCATAGTGAATCATCATCGTATAGGTACAATAACATATTTTTTGTGGCAATTTTAAACCATCGTCGTCTAAAAAAAATGGCAATTTGTAATCTGTGATCATACATATATGATATTAGTTTTGAACTAACATGCGCTAC